CTGAGCTAAATCCCTGGCTTTCCCTACCTTAGTTTTTATTTGTGTTTATTAATATGCAGAGAGGATTGCCTGTGTATCATCATCATCATCATCATCATCATCATCATTTTACTGGGGCGGGAGATTGGGCCCAGGGCTCCTGAGTGTTGGGCATCTAACATTACTTCATATATAACAAACTCGCACACACATTTTTAGCTAGCAAAGCATAAATGTAATTCTGCTGACCCAAACTCAGGAGAAAATTAAAGTACCTTAGTGGCTAAAAAAGAACCCGGAAGCTTTTCCTCTTAGTTATCAGTGAAGTTAGCATCTTGTCTCTTCAGCGTGTGCTCTTTTCACGGGTTGCTTTGGCTCGCCACCAATGCTGTCCTTAAGTGCGAAGGACGGACTTTATTTGGATACTAATTCATGAATGGAAGACTTCTTTTTATCTTTCGGGTTCACCCCAGAGGGTGGCGCTGTTGGTTCCAGGTGTGCGGTTTCCACGTTGCTGTTTGGTGCAGATTCCAAAATCGATCACTGCTAATCTGTCCCTCGCGGAGAAACAAATGAAGAAGCAAAAAGTTCCTATCCCAGTGCGCGAGCGCTGGGGCCGCCAGTGCATGTCGGGAGAGGGCGGGCGGGTTCCTTCCAGTGTCTGTGCCCGCAGACCGCCGCCCTGGACCAGGCGATTAAGAACGCCCACGAGTGTTACGACGACGAGATCCAGCTGTACAACGAGCAGATCGACAGCCTGCGGAGGGAGATCGAGGAAGCCGAGCGGACGCTGGAGAAGACGTCGTACGACTGCCGGCAGATGGCCGTGGCCCAGCAGACCCTGAAGAACGAGCTGGACCGCTATCAGCGCATCCTGGAGATCGAAGGCAACAGGTGCGGTCACCTGTGCCCCGCGTCCCGGTCGGGATCCCACAGCTCCCTGCTGTGGGCTGAGCGCGGTTCTGGGCAGTGGAGAGGTGGTGGGGAAGGCATACAAAATCCCTGACCTCGTGGAGCTCTAAGGGCCAGACAGAGACAGTGGATTTGGAGCCTAGGGGTGGGGGAGGGGGGTGATGGGCGGGTGCTTGAGACCCCACAGAGGGGGATCAGAGAGGGCCTCCCGAGAAGGCTGCCTTGTGCCCACTGGGCCCTGGGGACTCGGTCTGGCAGTGCTTGGCGGGATTGGTGCTGTCCCCTCTGGCCGGGTCCCTTGGCTGTAACAGCATTACTCCATCACGGAGCTATGACTTGGACCCCAGTTATTGAATTCCTTCCCTTGAGCTGATGTTGACATCCACGTCCACATGTCCTTGGAGAACAGGTGAGGTGGGGTTGTGCTCCTCTGGTTCAGCGCCTTCCTCCCCCATTTTTGGGGTTTGAGTTGAGAGCAGCCCCCTCCCCTGCAGAAACCCCAAGGGGCCATCTCTTCCCTGTGCCCAATCTCCGTGTGAGTGCTCCATTGTGCAGTGGGCAGAGCAGGGCTTTCTTTCCCTTCCCTAGGTACAGTCAGCCTGTTGTGGGCGGTTCCCCGTTACTTGTATGTCTCTGCACGCGCTTTACAAGCACATTTATGAAGTCGAGCCTCGAACTGCACTTAAATGTCCTTGTGCACATTTTTGCTGTGGGAGCAGAGTATCCCTGCAAGTTAACAGGCTTCTCCTGGGTGGGTTTGTTAGTGACTTCTGACAAGAACGGGAGGAGGAGGTCCTGAATACTCTACCCACTTGGGTATATTTTATTTCAATTGCTTTAACATTTTCCTATGTTAAAGGAAACTGATATTATTTTTTTAGTTAGTTAAATTAGTCTTTTTGAGGCAGGGTCTCATTATGCAGTCCAGGCTGTTCTTGAGCTCACTTTGTAGCCCAGGCTGGTCTCAAACTTGCACCGATCCTCCTGCCTCAGCCTCCCGAGTGCTGGGATTATAAGCATGCACTACCACGTGGGGGTATTTTTTAAAGCAAGTTGGAGTTACAGTATCCTTTTGGCCCTAAATATTTCAGCCTGGGTTGGCTGCTCTTTAATTAAAAAACAAAAACGACAACAAAAAAGCAGCAGGAAGCTCCTGTCCCACAGAGCAGTGACTCTTTACATTGTAAGTGTCCCTTGCAGGGTCCCCACAGCTATTCTGCAGTACAGGCCTCGAACTTGGAGGAATGATGTCCCTGTCCAGTGTGTAAGTGCCTATGTGCTCATCAGCTTGCAGTCAGATGCTGCTTTGATCCAGAGAGAGCCGCTTTTTGTTTTTTTTGGTACTGGAATTGAACTCATGACCTCAGGCTTGCCAGGCAAGCACTTATGCTGCAGAGCTACATCCCTGGCCCTAGAGAGAGCCTCTTTAGGCCGGGACTTAAAGGCTGTTTCTTTCTGCCAGGCTGAGCTCCGCCTTCATGGAGACTCCAGTCACCCTGTTCACCCCGAGCCACAGGACCGCGCTCAGCCTGGGACCCGGCGGGAAAGGTAACACTCCCCCGCCGCCACCGCTGCTTATTTCTCCTTGGAAAAAAAAAAAAAAACGGGAAAAGCCACGAGGGCTCGGTTCTGACCGACATTTACGTGCCTTCCGACCCATCTGGACATCAAATACTTTATGGGGGTCCCTTTCTCACTTCTCTGATCTGCTCCCTTGGCCACTCAATGACCAAGCCGAGAACTTTCGAAGGAGAAACGTGGCTAGGGGAACAGCCCACCTGGGGAATGCCGTCCCCGACCCGGGGCATTTAATTGGGAGGAGGTACCATTCTGTTTTTGCCTCCTGCTTCTTTACTGCAGGCCGGAATGGGCCCTGGATTGTATTCTGCCCTTATGAAATGCATTCGCTTTTGCATAGCTCAAGAATCCAGTGTCTGGTGCAGGCTAGATGCTCAGTTTTTATTCTTCCTCCCTTCCCTTCAAGACTGAGCAGAGGCTGGGTTTGCCTGCCTGGAGTTCAGCTACTTGAGAAGCTGAGGCAAGAAGGTTATTTGAGCTCAGGAGTACAGAGATGGTCTGAGCAATGTAGTGAGACCATTTAAAAAAAAAAAAAATCAAAGAACAAAATTGGAGTGGGGACAAGCTGTTTATAAAATGTGGCTTTGCCTCTGGTATCTGGTCTTTTTGGAATGGTTCACCCCTCCATGAGAGGTCTCTTGGATCTGGACAACACAGTGTTTTAGGAGAAAAGAAAAGGTGGTAACACTGATGCTCACAGGGCTTTTATTTTTATTTTTTTACTTTTATTGTAATTTATTTTTATTATGAGTTGGTAATTTATGGTTGTATAAATCTATGGGGCACAAAGTGACGTCACAATCTACAATCACGGTGGAATAATTAAATCGAGCTAGTTACCATGTTACTCTCCGCAGACACATGACATCTTTTGTGGTGAGAACATTTGAGATTCCACCGTGGGATCCCGTGACCTTTGCCTCCCTGTGCCTGGCTCGTTCACTTAGCTGGTGTTCTGCGATTCCATCCACATGTGTCACATGATGGCAGTTCCTTCTTGCAGAGGCTGCCTGGGTTCTGTCCTGTGTGTGCACTCCGCCTCTTTACCTGCGCATCAGCCGCTGGGCTCCGGGATTGATCTGTCCTGGCTGTTGTGGACAGAGTTGTGGTCACGCTGATTTCTGTGCTCTGGGTTCAGTGCCCACAGTGGGACTGCCCGATCTTATAGGGCCCCTGATCCCTGTTTCCCAGATAGCTCAGGGGTCTGTGCCCTGAGCGCAGAGTCAGAACATGGCTGGAAGGACAGCACTCTGCTGCCACACTCCCCAAGCCACTCCACAGGCAAGCAGCCCTACACAGTCTGCACTCTGAAGGGACCAAGCATGGCTTGGTGCTCTGCTGTCACTGTCCTGAAATGAATTTGGAGCAAGGGGCCTCACATTTTCCTTTTGCAGAGACCCTGGTGTCTTCGTTACTTTTCTCTTGTTGCTGAGACAAAATACCCAATGCCCAAAATTAAGGAAGGAAAGGTTTATTTAGCTCATAGTTTGTGGAGGTTCTGTCCATACTTGGCTGGCTCCAAGGCAGAGTGGCACATGGCAGAGGACAACCGTTCATGGCAGCGAAAGGTAGCAAAGCAATAAGAGCAAAATGGGAGAGCAACACGTCTCTTTTCCTCCCCTATACTGTAAGCAGGCTCCGCCCACCCAGGGGCGTGTAGCACTCACATCATCTCCATGCCCTCCTCCTGCACAGGCTCAGTCACTCATTTAACCTTCTAAACTTTTCAAATTGACATGATGAACAACATCCTAGAGCAGGAAGGGCGTGTCCTTTTCACCCTAGGATGTAGAACAGCTGAGTTACTTAGTTAAGCTTCTAGACTCCTCAAGTGGACATGATGTATCAACCATAACACCTGAATTCCATGGCTGGCCTGTGAGCACCCTTCTCCAAGACCAGCTGTCCTCTGAGGGGTCCCTCTCTGCAGCCCCTTCCTCTTTCTGGCTTCCTGACTGTTGCTGCCCTTTTGGGCTCCCCTGGTTGGCCCCATGGTGGGTCAGCCCATGCCAAGGGCTGGTGCTCTGCCTGTCTTAGTCCTGGGGTGCATGAGTCATTTTCCCATCTCTAGGACAAAATACCAGACACCCACAGTCTCAGTGAGTTCGGTCCCTGGTGGGCTGGCTCCACATCAGAAATGGCATGGTAGAAGGGCATGGTGGAGGAAAAGGTGCTCAACCCATGGCCACCATCAAGGAGAGAGAGAGAGACAGGGCAGAGAGAGAGAAAGCCGGGACTAGAACACACACTTGCAGGTCATACCCCAGGGACCAGCTCCAACCGGGCCCCACCTCCTCCCAGCACATTCAGCCACGACTCATCCACGGATGAATGGCGCGTGTGGTGCACCCACGATCCAATCTCCCTCCAAGTGCATGAGGCTTTTGGGGAACACTTTAGCTCCAAACCATGACGTGGGGGGACTGGTAGGAAGCGATGGAAAAGACCTTTAGGGTGAGAAGCTTCCAAAAGCACTGCGTGAGAGGTGCTAGAGAGCCTTGGAGATGAGGCAGGGTAAAATTTCTGCATGTTTTCTTCATCTTCTGGTTTTTCCTTTCAGCTAGAAATGTGAGGGGATGCATAAGCGTGTGGGCGGGGGTTCCTGTCGTTTCTGAGTTAGTAGCACCGCTTCTCCTGTTGGCGCAGGAGGAAGGGCTGCTGACCGAGGAGGGCCGTGTTTGTTCAGGTTGCTGGGATGAAGGTGGATGAGGGAGATACACTGTGGTGATTCCATGTCAAACCTGAGGCCATCTGAATGTGTCAGAGGCCAGGGCAGCTCTGTCGTCCTTCCTTTGAGGAGTCAGATGAAGGACCTTGTGGAGTGGGTTCCTGGGTTCGGTCTGCAGATCCAGATGCCCTCCATGAGCTCAAGAGGGGATAGGAGTGTTGCTCCCACTGAGGTCCTCCTGCAGGTCCCCCACCCTGTGTTTGCCCCACCCTGTGCTAGACACTTCTAGAGCCATCAGCATAGTTTTCAGCAAGTACATTTTCATTTTCTTTCATTGACAGTGACACTGGAGTTACTGCCTGTGCTTTTGTCTTTGTTTTTTTTGTCAGATCTCACCAGGGCTGTGCAGGACATTGCCGCAGCTAAACTGAGGCAAAGAGGCCTCCCCAAGAATGTTCCACGGAAGAAGGAGATCATGGCTCAGGACAAAGCAGATGAAACTCTGGACGATGTCCCGGCAAAAGATCTGGAAGACCCAAAGCCGGGGCAGGGGGTGACCAAAGAGAAGGCTGAATCCAAGTATGAGTCAGGGGGTGGAGAAGCAGACTCCCCAGCCCAGGAGGGGGGTCCGGAGGATGTGCCAGACGGGGGGCAGATAAGCAAAGCCTTCGGGAAACTACGCAAGATGGTCGAGGAGAGAGTGAAGGCCCACAAGGAGCCTGCGCCCGAGCCGCCCACTGACCTCTACACCAAAGGGCGCCACATACTGGTCACAGGGGACGCCGGCTACGTGGACCCCGGCTTCTCCTCCTCTTCCATCCCCACCAGAGGCAGGGTGGTGATTTCCATTGAGGATGGCTCCGTGCGTGGTGATGGCGGGGCGGAACCCACTCCTGAGCAGCCCACCTCACCTTCGGAGAACGGGCCGGGGGGCCCTCAGGGGGGCGAAGAGGAAGACACAGGAAGCCAGCAGTCTGCAGACAAGGGGAAAGAGATAAAAGCCCAGGAACCGAAAGGCCCTGGGGTGAAGGATCAGGGCCAGAAGGAAGAGGAGAGCCCTAGGAAACCCTGTCCTGTGATCATACCGGGTCCAGAGGAACCATCTGCACCCCCGCCTCCAGGGCCCCGGCCCACTCAGGGTGCAGCGGAGGGGAAGAGCAGCAGCCGGCCAGAAAGGAGCCTTCCCAGGGCCATGGCTTTTAAGAAGGTGGAAGTGGTGGAATCCATCGAGCAGATTTCAACGGAGAGCATTGAGACGTACGAGGAGACCTCGGTGGTTGTGGAGACCGTGATGGGGAAGATGAAGGCGAATAAGAAGTCAGAAGAGAAAGGCTCCTAGGATGGCTGGGCTCAGTGGGAGGATCTGTGGGCCGCTGTAGGGGATGCTTTGATATCCTAGGGCGCCTGGTAAGAGTGAGGTTCCCGTGTGGCTTCTACTGTAGATGACTCATTGGCGCTGTTGGGGAACCTGCATTAAAATGTTTTCTTTGCTTGCACTCTATGCCTTGTGTCATCCCTCAGGGCCATAGGAAAGCAGGGGTTGCCGTGCTCAGGACAAGGGTGCTGGCTCCTGTGGTCCCCAGCGGGTCCTCACACCCTTCTTCACGTGCACATTCCCTGTCAGGGCGTCTGGGTTTCTCGTGGAAAGATGCTCGTGATGACCTCGGCCCCTTTCAGTCCATTTCCACAGGAGTCCGTGCAGCACAGCTTGGGCTCCCCTGGAAGCTGGCACATGGTCAGATGCCAGGGTTCCTGTGGAACAGCAGGGAGAAGCGAGGCGCCAGATTGCTTCGCTCAGAGGACTGGGGAGCGTGTGCCTCAGGGTCACTCTGTGCTGGGCGGGTGGTGGGGCTTGGGTGTGGGGCTGCCAACTGCTGCCAGGAGTGGGAGGTGTGGTCTCAGGACCTCAGCAAGGCCCTCGGGTGCAGAAGTCCAGGTGGCAGCCTTTGGAAGTCGGCCTGGAAGTGTGTGGAAGGAGCAAGTCCGGGGGACCGAGGCAGGCAGGGTACAGCACCCTCTGCCCCCGTGTGGGCTGTGGGGTGCAACCTTACAGTTTTCTCACTCAGAGCATTGGTTCCAAAAGCAAACGTGAGTGTTGCTGCATAATTCCCAGGTTGGCGGTGAGTGGATTGGTCTGATGAGCATTCTTCGAGCTCCTGCTGTGTGCTGGTTGGCTTTTGGGGATGTTTCTCAGATTTAGTAATGACTTCAATGGGGCCCACAGCCCGGTCACATGGGGCATCCAAGTATTTACTGTGCTGCATCCTAAGAAACACAAGTGACACAAAGCCAGGATCTTCACCAAGACTTTCTTTGTGTGCTGGGGATAGAGTCCAGGTCCTTGTACTTGCTTGACATGAACCCTGCCCTGAGCTCTACCCTCAGCCCACAAAACTTTTTGTTGCCTGTAAGCATCCATTTTCCTACTGAGAGTCAGAAGCCCATTTTACCTGATACCAGTTAAAAGCTGCTGCTGCTTCCGGGAGCTGCTGCAGAAGGCACCAGGGACCCCGAGTCCATGTGCGGAAGTGGATTATTGCATTGGCCTTAAGGAAAGCAGCTGGGAAAGCAACTGCAGGTTGTGAGAGAAAATTGACAGCGCCTCCAGCGACGCTGCGGTTCTTCGTTAAGAACGGCAGAATGCTGAACAGAGTCACCTGTCCTTTCTACTTAAGGCCTTAGACCGTCTTGTTCTAAATGCCTTTGAGGTTTTGAGTTCAGGAAAGAAATATGCTTCTGTTCTTTCTAAAAGATGAATGGAGAACCTGCTGCATCCCCCTGTTTGAAATATTTATAACTTAAAAGCCTAAGCGAGAACGGCGGACGCCCATGGGACCTCAGGATGCAGGAATTTGGGCTGGCGTGTCCATCCAATTCAACATCAACAGCACTGCACACCCTTTCCCTTTCCCCACTGGCTCTTTTTAGTTTTGGGACTGTGTTCACAGTATCTAAAGAGGCTGGGATGAAAGGTCATTTTTCTCTTGTATTCAACCAACCAAGACAAACGGATGAGGGGTCTACTGTGTACCAGGCTCAGTGCTGGGCACTGGAGAGACAGCAGGGATGATCAGGTGTGGCCCTGCACAGGGAGACCTGATGTCGGGGAGGAAGAAAGCGCACAAGCCAGCAGGAAATGAAGTGAGGGAATTGGAGACCTTGATGAATAGTGACCAAGTCTACTTGGGATGGGGTGGTCCAGGGAGGACCCCATAGAGGAGGTGATATGTGAGCTGGATCAGAAATGGGCCCTGTACAGATCTGAGGGCAAGTGCAAAGGCCCTGGGGCAGGAAGTGGGGGGAGAAATGACACTGGAGCGGCTGTGGGAGGTGGTGAGGTGAGCTGAGGTGAGGTGGGAGGTCGGGCTGGGAGCTCTGCTGAGTTCCGTGCATGCTCCAGGCTTCTCCTGCAGGCACTGCGCTTCTGTGCTACCTGCTGCACACCCTGGGTCTGTGGGCTCCTGGGAAGCTTGAGCGTCCCAGGCTGCCCTCAGCCAACCTGGCCGGGGCCTGGTGGCAAAGATGCAGCTCTTCACCCTCTGTGGGAGGACACGGGGTGGGGTGCAGCGTTGGCTCGCTCTGGGGTGTTCCCTGCGGGTTTGAACCTCAAAGCCCACGGAGAAGCTTGCTTAGCCCTGTGCCCCATGGGGCTCCTCCCTGGCCCGTCTCACATTCTGCTCTGCTGCACACAGCTTCCTTTCTACAAAACTGCTTGCCCTTGGCCTCTGTCTCACGGTCGGCTTCCGGAGGATCCAACCGGACACAGCTGCTTGGCCTCACTGCGTTCCCTGCACGGCCTCTTGGGCCACTCTTGAGGTGATATCGAGCAGCTGTCCCTCCCATGTGCAGCCCGACCACACTGCCACTCGAGACATCTGCCCTTCTCTGGCCTCAGGCTGGACAGGTGCCCCAAATTATGCCAGTCAGACCCAATCAATTGCTCTCGGTTTGAAATGTGAGGTCCCCGTACATTGAAACTGGGACCCACTGTGCTGGGCAGGGCCTTTGCAGGGCATCCCTCGAGGCACCTGCTTGTCCCTGCTGTGTACCTAGGTCCCCACCTGAACTGCAGTGCCTGTCCTTGGTCATCTCTTCCAGCTTTCCTTCCTGAGTGCTGTTTCACAGTTTTGAGTTAGTTCCTGTGGCCTGGAGCCCCCAGGACCTCAGTGATCCCTGCACCATGGGGGTTCGGCGCTGACAGAGAAGCTGCTCAGGCTCGAATTTACCCTCTGCAAGGTCTGGGTACAGGTGGCTTGCTGAGTCGGCAATGGCAGGAAGCTCAGCGTGTGCTGGGCTCTGCGAGCTCCTGCTGTGCTCCACACCTGCCTTCTCTGGAGGCTTGGGGCCGGGACTCTGCAGCCTCAACCCTGTCCCTGTCTTGCTGGCTTCTATCAGGAGGCTTGAGGTGTGGGGTGGGAGCGTGGGATGCTGCAGGAGTGGAATGGAGTGGAGTAGGGGGATGGCGGGGAGGGCCCACCTGCCACTTCCCCTTGCTCTTTGTTCCTGTCCACATCACCCTGGTGATGCTTTTGTTGCAGTCCGAACGTTCGTGTCACACTGGATTCATATGCTGAGCCCCCCACTCTCAGGGCATTGGGATATGGGGCCTTTAGGGGGCGAGCGGTCCTCTGCACAAGGTTAGTTCTCCTCTAAAAGAGGACCCTGAGCCAGGATCTGGGCCTCACCAGGCACCAAAGCTGTCCTTGTCGTCCCTTTGGGCATCCCGTTTCCTGTGGGAAATTGTTTTCTGTTCCTTACAAGCTCCCCAGCATGTAACTTCCTATTCCAGCAGCCTGAAGAGAGGGAAGCGGTGGCCCTTTTCCTCTTCACCGGCCCTTGCTGGCGAGTGAGGTGTCCACTTTCCATTCTTTGCATTTGCAGAACTGGCCCATGGCAGTGGCCGAGGAGGTGCCACACTGGCGCCTTGACACCATGCTCAGAGATCCGGTCTTGCCTCCTTGGGCCTCCTTCCTCGGCCTCCAGTAGCATGATACTGGTGAATCAAAAATTACGTTGAATAGTGAAGTTGAAAAAATGACTATAGCAGATGTCACATTGCCATTATTCCCCCTCAAAGTATTGCCTCTAGCTTCCAACATACTCATCACATTACTCTGGCCACTTTCTGAAGCACTTCTGGGAGTGTTCTTTGCTGAGCGTCTTTTTGAGGTGTGATTAAAAGCATGGTAAATGATGCTGCCAAGGGCCGGACAACAACAGGTTCGTGAAAACACGAGGGTGTCTCATCCACCTTATTCAGCAGGTCAGGCACTGTGCAACTGCTGGCTCTTTCCTAAAATTGAAATGGCCACGAAAGTCAATGTTCTGAATCAATTCAGGGCACAGAGGCAGCTGGGACAGTGTAACTAAAGACACTCAGGAGAGAGGACTTCCAGAACTGCTGCAGAAAGTGGCAAGAACGATGGGACAAGTGTGTCTGAGGTGAGAATGAGTACTTTGGGAGGGGGGAGTTAATGGTAATGTGACTTTTACTGTAATAATTTTTTTTTATTTAAACAAGCACTATATTTTCCATCATATGTTATAATTCCATCTTCTCTCTTTGGGGAGGGAGCTGGTTGCATCCTGAATTCTGGTGGACCGGAGCAGCTCAGGTGCACCAGGGGTCCTTGGCCAGTCCCACCCAGCTACTGTGTCTTCTCAGTTGCTCAGCTTGGAGATCAGCTCGGCCTTGAGACCTCCAAGCATTACTTTTATGAGGTTAACTTTCCTGGGCTCATGTGCTAGAGAGAGAAGCTTTGCGGGAGCCACCTGGCCTTTGTCCCAGAGTCTGGGCTCAGTTCAGATGGCCAGCAGGCTGTCAGGACCAGGGTGGACTCCACCAGAGTCTCTTCTGGCTTCACCTGCTCAGGCACAGCCCACCAGCTTTCAGGTCCTGATGGGTGTGCTTCTGTGCCACCCTGGTGCTCCAGGTGGTGAAGGCCCAGTGGCTGTGGGATCACTCCAGGCTGGAGGCGTGCTGCCTGCCCCCTCTCACAGTGAAGGGGCAGCTTCCCTGTGAGCCCCCAACTCCCACAACCTTAGACTCCCTGAGCTGTGTGCTGCTTGTGTTCTTTTCAGTCTTTGAATCAATTAAGTGCTGTGGTTTCGATTAAAAATTCCCCCGCAAACTCATGCTAAAGGCATGGCTGCCAGCTAAGCTTTTGGGGAAGTGATTGGCTCTTGAGCGCTCTGACTCAATCATACCTTTTTGTTTATTTGTTTTGTTTTTTGAGACAGGGTCTTGTTAGGCAGCTCAGGCTGCCCTCAAATATGGCAGTCCTCCTGCCTCAATTCCCAGGTGCTGGGATTACAGGCATGCACCACCATGCCCAGCAGATGAGATCATACTTTGATGGCTTTATTGGGAGATGATGGGAACAGGAGGCGGGGCTGGGATGAAAGGAGGGATCATGGGGGTGGACCGTGGAGACTGTATCTGGTGCCAAGCCCTTTTCTCTCTGTCTGTCTCTCTTAGCTTCTTGGGATGCCATGGGGTGA